CCCAAAACCCCAAAACCCCAAAACCCCAAAACCCCTTAGCTCTATAAATTTATTGATAAGTTATTAGTAAGATGAGTAGTAAGGAAGCTGACATGGAAGTAGACTATTGAAGCGACTATGATGCTGAGAGTGGAGCCCTTGATTATGAACTCACAATTCCTCCTGATGATAGCCAGATGAAGAAAATAATGCGATTGGTAAGGACACTTAAGATTGATGAGCTTAAGGAGTATCTTAAAGAGAGCAACCTTGACTTGACTAAAGCAAGATTGAAGAAAAATAATCAATCTTTATTGTTCTATTGCTTTGATATTGGGAATGAAGAAGACTGCCTGAAAGCTCTTAAGATCTTAGTGTCAGATTTCAGACTAAATCCTAAAAGGAGTGATGATATTCAGCAAACTCTCTTGTTCTATGCTTGCAGAGAAGGCTACAATATTGTGATAGATTGGCTAATTGATACTTACAAGCTTAGTGTCAATAGAACTGATATGTATGGGCAAACCCCTATTTACTATGCTTGATCAAAAGGGCAGAAGTCTACTTTACTCAAATTGATTGACTTAAAGGCTGACTGCTGATCTACAGATCTTGAAAATCAGACTCCTCTTTTCTTTGCTTCAAGAAATGGTCATACTGAAATTTGCAAAATTCTACTTGAGAAAGGCTGTCCTATAAATCAAAGAGACCATAAGGGAGTAGGAGCAATTGATATTGCACAAAAATTTAAAAGGATCGATACAGTCAATTTCTTGATTGACCAAGGAGCTGATGTTCCTCCAACATGGAAAATGGGAGCTCCAAAATCACTTAAATAAAGAAGATAAGAAGCAAAAGAAGATACGGAAATATAGACTGTGAAAGATATCTCAAGGAGAAGAAAGACTTGTTACGAAAGAAGAGTTTGAAAATGACTTTGCTGATAGGTTCCCTGAGCTTTACAAGAGTCTCATTCATGGGAGGATCGAGGAATTTAGGAAAAATATTAAAATTGCTCCTTTGCCTAAACACCCGGTCTTTTCAACTTGGAAGAAACTGGCAATGAGAATTTTGAGAAATTTAATGAGAATAGATGGAGGATGGATATTTAAAGAGCCGGTTGATATCGTGAAGCACAAATGTCCAGATTATTATGACATCATCAAAAATCCTATGGATTTCTCTACAGTGATGAGTAAGCTAAAATGCAACGATTATGAAAATTTGCAAGATTTTTTAGATGACCTCAAACTCATTTTTAATAACTGCATTCTATACAATGGAGCTTACTCTCCCTATGGAATCACTGCAACTGCAATGTTGAGTAAACTCGACACTCTTATTGAAAAATTCGGAGCCATGCATTATATAACCAACTAAAAGAACATTCAATTGCACTCTATTAAAAAGGGGTTTTGGGGTTTTGGGGTTTTGGGGTTTTGGGG